ATCGTCAACAGCTAAGACCGGCCAGATTGTGCTTCATCAATAGCGTACCGCATTCTTTGCCATGTTCCTTGGACCCTTCACAGTGAGTTTGTAGCTTAGCTTCCGGTACTTGTCTTTGAAAACCAATGTGTATGATTCCACTTTCAACTCAAGATCATCGATGGTTGGCAATTTAGCAACATAGCAGGCCATTCCTTCTCCAACGTTTGTCCTATTAAACTCTCTTACTGCTGCCATGGTATCCGTATCCGAATAAAGGCAATAATATAGTAGCATCCTCATTGAATATGGCAACAAACGAGGGATAATTTAGATCCAAGGATGGGTTCAAACAGTTGGGGTTAGAAGAGGACCTTGTGATCTTCTTGATTTGATTCACGGTGTAATCCAAAGCAAATAGAAGCCTGACATAGTCCTCTGCAGTTGCATCATAGATAAGCCCAGGGTCAAGTGCCTTGCTTGGATTGAGGTGACCTGCTCCTATGGCAAGAGGAGTGGCCTGTTGTACATTGTCCACAAATTCAGTGATGGGACTGAGAGTGTTGTCCAGTGTATCTGCTGTTGTCATGATAGCAGATCGAATGGCTGCGGAGCTCCTTTCAAAAGTGCAGCCACTCCCGCTGCATGAGGACAAGCCATGGACGTTCCATATATGATGTTGAAGTCACTAAACATTTGTGTGGATCCATCGTCGTCTACTATTGGGCTTATCGGAGACCATGAACCAAGGACCAAAGAGCCCGGAGCCATGAGATCAGGTTTTAGAATGTTGGGGCAAATTGTAGATGGCCCACGGGAGCTGGAGATAGCCACTCTTGGTGCTGCCTTTGTTCCAATACGCGTATAAGGAAATTTCATGGTTGCTCTTGGATCATGGCTTGTGTTTATGTAATTGAAGATAGCTTGACCTTCTTCTTCTTCCATGCTCACGACAACGGCTGGAAATGACAAGTGGATGTGAGGTTCTATCCTATTCCCTACGTATAAGAAGATGCCTCCAGCTGCCCCTGATGTGATTTGATCGTCAATGTTGTCCGCCGACGCCCAGAATAAATATGTGCTTTCGCAGACAACGATCTTGCCCTCTACATTGTTCAAGTCATTGCAGTCACCCATGAAGACAAGGGGTACCCGGGTTAACGAAGAATTTCCAGGGTACAAAGATGCACCTGTAATTGAAACACCATTGTCCAGAGCTACAATTCCATACAACTTACGATCGAGAGTACCGGAGACCACAGTAAGTAGCCAGAGTGCGACATTGTGCACTGTGGACAGGTAGGGCCCCTCGTTCCCCTGCTGATGCAGCAACAAAAATACCCTTCTCCATGGCAGCAACGGAGGCTATGGCAATTGGATCATCATAGAAATTAGAAGCTGTGTTTCCCAAGGACAAGGAGAGGACATCCATACCATCACTAATTGCTTTATCTATTGCCGCAATAACATCGGATGCATAAAAAGTATCATCCCGCATTGCCTTATACATGGCTATCCGTGCTTTTGGGGCCATTCCTCTTGCACTCCCTCGGGCATAACCAAAGCAGGAAGCTCCTTTTACATAGTTCCCAGCAGCTATAGAGGAAGTATGTGTCCCATGTCCATCAGTGTCACGAGCAGAATTCATGGAGAAGTTCAGGTCGGGGCTGTGAGCCTTGATACCCTTATTGAAGAATCTAGCTCCAATTAGCTTCTTGTTGCACATGGTAGAATTGAAATCCGTACCACTCACACATTCTCCTTTCCACTTGTTTGGAACTTGGGTCATTCCATCATCTCTAAAACTTGCACTCTCTGGCCAAATTCCACTGTCAACTAAGCCGATTATGACATCTTCGCCATAGTTTGACGCTGGCCATGGACCGGAGTTAGAATTATTGAGACCAAGAAAATCAGGAGTGTGGGTTGTGTCGGCCTTAAGGAGCACATCTAGAGTTGATGAAACAAAGCCGGGCAAGTGTTTCAGCAAGTCGAGCTCCAAAGGAGAAAGGCTTGCAGCAAAACCATGGATGGCATTATTGTAGGTATAGATGAGGTAACTGGGTTTGGTGGTAGTAATGGTAGCAACACCATTCCCACCATCCTTAATGGAGGAAAGTGTAGCTTCATACCAGCTGTGGTGGTCGGCGAAGGCTCTGGGCATGGCTGATAAATCCATGTGGACAATGTACACATCTGATTTTGCCAACAGGGAAGTGGGATATGAAATAGCAGCGATCAAGAGGAGGATCCATAGGGAGAAGGGGTTTGCAGTGGCCATGGCTGAATACACACAGGCAGTACATGAAGTTCGTAGAAGAATAATTAATTAGGGTTCTAACTCCGCCTCCAAGCTATCTTTTGTTGGAGGCTGGGACCCTTTTTGATTGTCGTTGATAAATTAAATTCTGTATAGACCCTCACCACGATAAATTGTCTGATATTTACTTATTTTTCATAATATGTTATATTTATATTCTTTTTTTATTATTGTTGATGTAAACCAATTTTTTTAATATTTAATGGCATTTTATATTAAGTTGTTCATTATTTTATTCCTCCTGATTGCATTTTGTAGACATTGTACTATCCTTGTAGACATTGTAATATATTCGGTTCTCTCTTGATCGTAACCGAGGTTTAATATATGATGCCAAGTGAACTTATTCTACACAGCTCCCATAATCTGTAAAGCATACATGTAGTCCACCAGTTTAAGAAGTATTAATTAACCAACTTGACTCTTAGGTTATGTTTGGTTTGAAGAAAAACGTACATGTAGGAAAAGGTAGAAAAACTTATACAAGCTTTGTGAAACTTTTTCTACTTTTTCCTTCAAACCAAATACATGGTTATGCTAATTATAATAGGAGTTGAATACTAGTAATGGAGTTTATGCAACTCTCGAAACCTTTGCTCTTTGGACATCATGTATATTGAATATCTTTCCTCATCGGTCCTACCTTGGAATTTTTCTACAACTTTCTTTTAGGTAAGTTAGATAGAACACATTGCAATTCACACTCACATTAAAAATAAGAATTGCAGATCATTGTCCCAGGAAAGCTTTGCAGATCATTTGGCAGATGTTGTCCATTTCACCACAACCCTAGCTGTCAGAAATAATTGTTTATTGGCATAATAATACTTACCCTATAGGCCTATTTGCTTTTTGATAAGTTATTTATTCAGGTAAATGCATTTACTCAAGAAAGATTTATCCGGGTAAGTGTATTTATCCATATTTTTTTATTTTCCATGCAAACAACACAATGACCATTTTAACCATAAAAATCCATTATTATAAGGGGCATTTTTTTCTCATTTATGTATTGACAATTTTCCCCTAAGTTGGGAAAGTTCTTTATCCACCCAGGAGATGGGCATCACTTACCTACCCAAGAAAATAAATTTTCTCGGGTACCCACATAAATTTGAAAAAAAAAAAAAAAAAAAACCAAATTTCCCCCTCTCAAAATCCAGAAAAAGAACACCCCCATAGTATAGTAGGGGTGGAGATTGCAATATCTATACATTCATTCTTATTACTACCAAGTACCAACTCATGGTAGCTTAATTGATAAAGTAGAGAGATATTCCCAATGCATGGCTTTAAAGGCAATGTAAACAGTTTGAGCACCGAAACCAATTTCTAAGTTTTCTAGCCTGTTATAGTTGAGACTTGAGATCAAATCATATTGTATAGAATGTGGATCTCTTACCCACAAGACATTACAACTATAGATTGAGAACATCTCCCCATAATAAATGAGAACAACTGTAATATCTTGTCGGTACAATCCTTGTGGGTAAGAGATTATGTAACCCGTGAATCTAAAATTTTAAAAGGAAATAAGAAAAATCATTATGGGTATTGCATAACAGATGTTAATGACAGTCATGGTCCATACGGAGAGAATTCACATACATGAGTTTGAATGTTTGATCCCAGATCTCCTCTTTCACAGAAACGCCAAGTGGCCATCCAAACTGGGAGTTCACTTTTGCTGACATGATTTTATATACACTGATACAGGGAAAAGACAGAATTACGGTCGTCAATTTATCTTTCATGTCGCTTCATCTAATTCAAGGTGGCGCCCTACTCCTAGGCTCCTAGCATTATTCCATTAGATCCAAGCCTTTGATTTTTGTCGTTTCAGCAGATGGTTAAAAGCAGGTAATAGCAAGAGTGGTTTGCCAGAGTATTTGCTTTTTTTTCTTATTAATCACTGGGTGACACCCCACATGAGTACATCAATATTTTTTTCTTACACAGAGATGATAATAACGGGATTCAAAACTGTATCATTAATGCAACAATTCATCTAGCACACCAACTACATTATCCCTCAAATAGTGTTTACCAAATTATTGGATCATCGCATTTGAGTCCCAATCACCCACCAACAAAAGACGGTCCGATGCCTACCAATATCATCTCACACCGCACATATCATACATGGCAACTCCTATTGTTATTGTTATGGTGAGTCACAGTTTTATGGTGAGATGTTTGGTATCAGATTACATTAATAGAGTGTTGAAACGTGTTTTATTGGCAAGAGATCTCAATTCATCATATTCATTGTTGTTAGGAGTGACCACGAGCCAAGTTCTTCATGAGTTATTCGAGCTTGGTCCATCAAAAGTTTGGTTAAGCTCAGTTCCTACCGAATTTGGAGCTGAACTCGATCCTAATTTACAGGCTCGTTTAATAATCGAATCAAGCTCGGCTAGCTCAAATAGTTACATAATAATAATAATAATAATAATAATAATAATAATAATAAATTATAGAAAATAATATATAATAAAAATATTATATATATATATAATATTTTATTTTTATATATAATAATAACTAATTATTATGATTTTTAATTTTTTAAATATCAAATAAAAAATATTTTATATATATCTTTTTTATTTTTATAAAATATTTTTTCTCAAATTGATTTAGAGCCAAGACGAGTTCGAACTTATAAGTTTTTGACTTGAACCGAACTCGAGCATCGTAGTATTATGCTCGGCTCAGCTCGAATTCACCCTTAAAATTTGTAAAATTTAGCGGATACCGCATTATCATTAATGTCTCCGAAGCATTGGATATATGCATCATTAAAACATCTTTTCATCCTCGAGTCCGGATTGCCTGCCCATTGAGCGCATCAGACATGCCCCAGAGCACATCTCAGCGTGCGAAGGAAAGATAGATGTTCCCAATGCACGGTTGAGATGTATGTGGGGAGCCAATTTGACCACTTCATCATGACTACACATGTGAAGTGAAGTGTCCGATTGGTTTTTAATTAAAGTTTACGAGACTATGATACCAAGTTAGGCTAGCTGTAGCACATACATACAAGATCATAAGCTATAAAGTGGAGAAGATGAGGTAGGGATTAACAATGATGAAAAAGGGATAATTAAAACCAAGTTGGGTCCTTTCATTTGATTCAGCTTCACCGACCAACTCAATTTATTTTAACTTTGGGTGGTGTTGAATTGATGGTTTTCTTCGTGTTTCATTTGGTTTATAAACACAAACAACATTCTGTATGTTATCACAACTGCACTCAGATCTCAAAATCTATGGTTTTACGACCAGCAAAATGGCATTTTTCTAACACAACATTTACAGTTCTTTGCACCAAGAAATATGGTCGGCTGATGACCTGATGTAACCATGATATGCAGTATGATGTGTCTCACACACCAGTCATGCATGGTAAATAGAAATATTACATGTACACAAAGGTTCTAAATATCGATACGCCTGTGTCCGTGATTGTTTTTTCTTATGTTTTATTTAGTTTTTTTTTTTAAATCAGTTCAAAGGGACTGGTTTAAGGCTCGGCTACCCTTTGAACTAGTGGCTGGCCCAATACAACCCTGGTAGGGGGTATATCAGGAAGCCACCAGTACGATACGTATCAGCCGATACGAACTAATACATATATCGATACTTTGAACCTTGCATGTACACATGAACTATACAATCAATGTTCGCATATCATGGTTCAAAAATGAACTCTGACCTGAAACCATACCACCATTTTTCAGAACCATGACCTGCATATCACCTTATGACCGCTTTAGCAACATATGCATGTAGCTAGGCCATTCCTTCAATGTTCGCCTCCATTCTGTGGAACTCTTTTATTACTTTGGCTTGTAAAGGAAAGTACGACACTCGGTCACTCGCAGAGTTTGGCAATTAACAAGGGGTAATTGAGATCCAAGATATGGGTTGGCTTAGAAGAGTGACCTTGTAAGCTTCTTGGTTTGATTCTCAGTACAATTCAAAGCACACAGAAACCTCACATAGTATGAGGACTTGCCAAGTCCACTAGAAGGGGTTAACAATCTGAGCACTGCCCACCAACAGACATCCTTACATTGACAAATGTAAATCTATGGAAAAATTAATTGCAAGTTCAACCATTAATTAGAAACTGGTTGATTTGATTTGATCCAGCCATAGCCATTTGAACTCTGGTGCAAGTCAAGCAAGCCTCTCACGGCTTATTTATGAAACCTCAAACTTCAAAGTCGATGTCAAGTTCCTCTGCAGGCAGCAACTTCTTCAGTCACATACCAAAGCAACAAGTTTTCTGAAGGCTAGGCTGCAACTTCATCCTGAAACAGATGCCTCTAATGTAATGCCAAGACAAGACACCACAAGGAGCCAATGACACCACATTGTTTCACTACCAATTTGGTGCTTTTGAGAAAAACCAAGGAAGCTAGCAAACATTTGTCGTTAATGGAATGGAATAAGCTTCTCTTAAAAGCAGATGCTTCACTTGAGTTTCTTACAAGTTATTTAGCTACACTCATACGTTCGTCAATATATCATCACCATTTATATATACGGTAATGGTGGAGCAGGATCTAAGTAGCTGACCCAATGACCCCTACACAAGGCATAGTTGGTGGTAGTTGGTGGTGGGTGTGTGTTTTAGACAAGGCATAGTTGAGTTCAGAGCAGGCAGTGATTATATGTTTCGCTGCTTCAGTAAATAGCAGTAGAAAGAACAAACAAGGGCCAAATGCCCCCCAAAGTCAAAATCGGGGCACAGATGGTAGCAGGCTGCCAGGCTTCAATCAAACTGTAACAATATAGATAGTACAACATCTCAGATAATTTTATATTTGAAATTTCGAATCAAAAGGCAAATAGATACAATTTTGACCCGCATAATATGTAAGCAATACCTACCCCATACTTCTAAATACAAATATGTTCAATATTCAACAATCAATCCAAATGACGCCATAAATCTGCTTCAGGGAAAATTTTAAAACAGAAGAAAAATACATGGGGAACGATGCCAAGCAACCAGAAACAATGAGCATTGCCATTTTTTAGGGCAATGGCAGTAATAATCTTCAGCTCCTTGACCTTCTCAAATAAGGAAGCCTTTTACCAATAATGAAGAAGCAGAGTGATCCCTTGCCCAGGGTCTATTGCTTATCCCAAGTATAATAACCAAGCCCGTGATGCATCAATGTGGCTTAAGCAGATGAATGAGGTGCAAATCCATCTTCCATCTTAAAGGGAGAAAATGCCAGGAGGAGATTGTGGTGAACCAGTTTCAAGTAAAAAGCTCCTGCTGCAATAGGATCTAGAGGTACTTGAAGAAGAAGGGATGCACCTTGCATCTCCACTGTGAAATATTACCTCACTTCTGTGCACCTTCCCTTTGCTTGCCCTTCCCCTATCTTCAGCACTTTCATCTTCCATGGCCTGCACATAACCACTATGCATTGGGTCCAGACTCTCATAGAGTAGTCTGAGGACCTGTTTAATTGAAGGCCTTGCTTTTCCTTCTCTTTGAGTACACCATCTGACAATTGTGACCAAAGTTTGGAGTTGTTCCAAGTCAAAAGAATCCCCTATTGCAGGATCTACTAATTCAGGTAGTCCAGATTCTGTTGCCATGAAAGGTTGGGACCATTCCACCAGGTTTCTGCTATCTTGTATTGCTCGCCTTGCAGTCACCAGTTCTAACAACAGCACGCCATAACTATATATATCACTCTTCTCAGTCAACTCCTGAGTAACAACATATTCAGGATCCATATACCCTGCAAATCATTCAAAAACTTGGTTTTATTTTCAGCAACTGCAAGCACATTGTATTAAATTAATAGGAAAAAAGGTAAAAAAAAAAATCCAAGCATTCCAAGGAGCTAGGAATGGTGTGCCAGAACAAGAATTAGGTATTCCCTTATAGCATATAACATAATAACTATCTGATATGTCATCGACTTGCCTGGAGTTCCTCGGATATCAGTGTTCACTGGTTCAAAGCTAATTGAGCCAGTTTTCGAAGCATGTGCAAGGCCAAAATCTGCCACCTGGAAGAGATGCAAGGGAAAATGAACATTCTTTCCTCCAAATACTCAACATTTAGTGCAAATTTACAAAGTTCTCATATGTAGCTAACCAGATCAACTACCTTTGCAACAAAATTCTCATCTAGTAGAATGTTGCTAGATTTGATATCTCTATGACAGAGAGGAGGATCACAATAAAAATGGAGATACTCCTGCAGATGGGAAAATCAGATGGGCGATCCAATAAGGAAAAAAAAAAAAAAACATTTAAAATACAAGCTTAAATGGGCTTACACCCAAAAGTTCGAATCACTGAAATTGGATTAAGTGGGACAAATAAAATATGATCTCATGGATTACCAGAGCATTGGCCACATCAATGGCAATCTGGATTCTAGTCGACCAACTCAATGGAGTTTTATCAGGAGCTGAAAAGATACATGTTAATCAGGTAGTGAGAAGTTATTGGTCAAAATTAAATAAAAATGAAACAGAAGCGAAGTGAAGATGCATACAATGTAGATGATCCTTTAAACTTCCATTTTCCATGTACTCGTACATCAAAAACCTACCCAGAAAGGGGCAAAAATTGTTAGATTGCATAAGAATATGAGATTGTAGGTAATATTACCAGTGTCATTACCTCTCATGTTTTTCAACACAAAAGCCTCTTAGAGCAACAAGATGACGATGGTGTAATCTTCCAAGAAGTTCCATCTCTCGGCAAAACTCATCCTCCCCTTGTTCAGAAACTTTGTTCATTCGCTTCACTGCCACCACACAACCATCACTAAATTGAGCCTTATAAACTGTTCCAAATCCCCCTCGTCCAATAATGGTGTTGAAATTGTCTGTTGCCTTCTTTGTCTCCTTATAGCTAAACTTCCGAAACATAGATGGACCTGCATTCATATAATACCATGTTCTATATGTTTCTCAATCATTGTGAACTATATAAGATGAAAGAAGCTAAATGAACTGACCTTCCTGACATTTACGAATTGGCCTAGGAGGTAAGGATTTCCAAGAGGTCTTTTCAAGATTCTCTGTATCCTCTAACTCTCTGCTTTTTTTCCGGATGAGAAATATCAAAACTACAAGCAGAAAAACAGCAACCACTGTGACTGCAATGCCAACACCCGAGATTACTGTGAAGTGGTATGAATGGTGATGCTCTTTAGGAGGTATGCCTACTAAAAGTTGACTAGGGCTAGCAGAAGGAGATGGACCCGGAAAAGTCTCAGGTGTGAGAGTTGGCGAGGATGGCTGTGAAACTACCACTGTAAATGCAACGGAAATGTTACAATTTTACAAAGTCATTGATTCAAGAAATAGTTACGACTTACAAGTCATACATTGAAGAAGAGATGAGAAGCATCCAAGGATACCAAACTAAAGAAAAATAAACACAAGTTGAAAAGAAATGAGAAAACAAATAAGAATAACAATATTTGGACATTCTAAGTTTACCATATGGTTCCCCAAATTGGCATTGTAGTATTGTGCTTTTTATTAGTAGCAACAGAAATGATTTTATTAACTGCACAAAAGAAGTAGATCCTGCTGCTGGAAGAGTAATAGCAAATGTGCAAGATTTGATCTTGTTAGAGAATAAAAACCTATTCAGGGACATCACCTAACTGCTTAAGCTTTTAGGTTGAATGGTTCCTTGAGATGGTATCAGAGCCTGTTTGACCAAGTAGTCTAGTGCTCAATCCTCATCACCTCCATTATAATTAATTAAATTTCAGCACAAGGTATGAGTGGGCCTGTGCTTGTTTACACTTCAAGCCTGATGGGATCCACTCTTTTTTATCAGTGTGGGATACTACCTTGCAGTCCCATTCAATTCATAACCTACTCCAACCTGAGGATTGTGCAAGTTCTGAGCCTTATAGGTTTTACCTAGGAGCCTAGCTGAATATCAATCTACACCTCAAGGATGATAGTCTTTCTTCTTCTTTTCTGAATGTTGTCTTTTTTGGTGGCTCTTAATCATGTTCATATGTACAGAATCTTTTTGTATAGTGAACTATCTCACTTGTATACTTTCTTTTGACTCTTTTAATACAAGTTTCACCTTACCTTCTCAAATAAAAAAACAAAAATAAAAAATAAAAAGTTCTAAGCCTTATAAAAGGTTCAATATTTCCTCTTGCAAAAGAGTTTCCTTTCCCTATGGGCCCCAAATAGATTCAAGAATAAATTTTCAGACCTATGCCCAAGAGGTGCAGGTTACCTACCATAAACCATCAAAATTTAGCTTAATGATATCAATTTCCAGACACACATTTCTGGGTAACAGGAAATCTTTATACTTTATGGAACAATGATTGCCACTACTTACCACCCACATAGAATTGAGTCCATATATAAACCTTTTAATTCATCTCTTATGTAGATCCGAGGGCCAATCATGAGAATAATGAAGTCACAAGGGGGATGTTGCAAGGTAGTTCAGGGGAAGAAGGCCATACACTTGGTGTCTGACAGCAATGGCAACAATGCTCATAGGGAATACATGAGGCGATGTGTTGTAGGGAAGTTCGAAGGAAACCCAAATTGTTTGCTGCCGAAAGTGGGGGCAAAGCTACAAAGGAGTTGGGGATTAATCCTTCCAGCTACAATGCAATGGTTGGCAAATAGTATGTTGTTGTTCCTATTGCCATCAGAGGTAGAAATACATTGAGTTTTGGAGAGGTTGAAAGTGGGGAGAATATCGAGGACAACAAATTATGGATTCGAGCTTGCCATCTTGGCATGGAGGTAGTGATAGAAGAGGAATGGAAGGTGGATAGCTGTTTGATAAGGGTCTTTGGGCTTCCAATGCATTTGTGGGGTAGGGAACTCATTAGGATATTCAGAGAACTGTGGTGGATTCATATGAGTGGACGATGCAAACACAGCCAAGGAAAGCTGTGAATGGATTCATTTGGAGGTTAGATGGCAACAACCAATTCTAGTGACAGCTGATGCACTTACTTCCAAATGGGGTATTGTATGTGATTGCTGTTTGCAAGAAATTTTTGCCTAGTGTATTTCGACCGGCAGAAAATGTTGGTGACGTCCAAGCGGCACAATTAGTGGAGATTTTACAGTTGGTCCAAAAAAGAGGGACCAACTTCCCTTTGAAACTCACCCTATGTTTCCATGAGAACTTCCCTTACGACCCTTATATTGAGTTATTGTCACGTTATCCTTTTTGTTTTGAAATTTGAAATTCCCTGCTTGCAAGTGCCTACAATCTTTTTTGTTTCTTTTTTTTTTTTTTTTGATCAATAACCACAGAATTCATTAATATTGGAAAAAAGTTACAGGGAAGAGGAGCTAAAGAATCTTAACTCCCCAGAACAGAAATACATCTGAATTAAACACTCAAAGGAGCTAAAGAATCCTTTTTGTTTCTTGAGGAAGGGTACCGATTTCATTCAGCAAAAAGAGATGTAAATGAGAGGATGTGCACAAAATCACAGGGCTTTCCAACAAAAAACAAAATCCCTAACACATTATGAAATCTATCAGGACTATACAAAAAAAGTCCTCTCAAAACCTAATTTAGCTAAAAAAATCAGCTCTTTGATTAAGCTCTCTAGCAATCCATCTGAAATAACAGCCTAGCAAGAAGGTGAGCTTGCTTATTTCAAGAAGAAAATGGCCAAAGCGCTAAGGGCTAATGTCAGAATTGGTGGCCCAGCCAATTCTGACAAATGCATTGGAAGCCCAAAGACCCTTATCCAACAACTATCCACCTCCCATTCCTCTTCTATCACTACCCCCGTGCTAGAATGACAAGCATAAATTCATAATTTTTTATCCCTAATCTCCACCCTGCTTTCCACCTCCCCAGAATTCTGTGTTTCTACCACTGATGGCAATAGAAACAACAATATATTATTCGCTGACCATTGCATTGTAGGTGGAAGGATTAATCCCCAAGTCTTTTGAAGCTTTTCCCCCACTTACTGCAGCAAACAATTTGGGTTCCTCTAGTACTCCCTACAAGCATTGTCACCATTGTCATCAGACACGAAGTATATGGACTTCTTCCCCTGAACTACCTTTCAACATCCCCCTTGTGACCTCATGGCTGTTATGATCTCCCCTGCCCCAGCCACCATGCTTAAAAAAACACAAAAAGTGCAAAAAAATAAAAGGTGCATGCCTGCTCTGAGGCACAAGGCACACCAGGCACACACCATTGTAAAGGGGCTGCATCTAGGCCTAGGCAAGGTGCAGGCCCTGAAATACACCTTGCTTATGTGCCTAGGCACACCTCAAGCACACCTTTTAAATCACTGCACATGTGAATATTCCATGTGTTTGACTGATGGAATGGTAATGCCAGGAGTAATGTGATGGTAATCTGAAGTACAGGGGCCTACTTTTTGTATTAAAAGAAAAAAGTTTTGGGGCTAAGTTATACCCTCGAAGTGTACAGGGGGTTTACGTAATTCAAGGTTTTTAGAACCAAACCGAACAAAGAACTGTTCAGGGGTCTGGTTCCTGGGTCAAACGGTCCGACCGTTCGAACCGAACGGATGGCCTGTTCTGACAAAAAAATTAAACAAATTTAAAAAATAAAAGATAAAAAACGGCCAAAAACCACTGGATGGTTCAAATGGTTCGACCGCCCAGGTCAGCGGTTTGCTGACCAAATTAACGGTTTTTGGCCAAAATGACGGTTCTGGGGTAAAACAGAACTGGTCAGGTGACCGGTTCCCGGTTTTTCCAGTCTGACCGTCCAGTTTTGAAAACCATGATGTAATTTAACCTTTTTTGACAAACTTGTGGTTTCATTGTTTGCACCATAGGCTTTGAGCATCAACGAAATTTATAAAACCTATTATGTTTCACTAAAAACTGTGTTATGACAGCTCATCATCTAATGTCTATAAATTGAACCCATATTTAGAAACATCCGTACATCTCTGTACAGCTGCATCAATGTATAAGAAATTAAGAGTAAAAAAGGATCAACTGAAACTTGAAAAGACTTGAATAGATGATGATGGGTAGTTTTTTTTTTCCAATTCAAATTCACAAAATGCAGAATCAAATAAGGTTCAGCTTAAGAGAATTTTAACTTGTTAAGAAAGAAAATGCTGGGGCCTTGGGAAAGGTAAGACAGGATACAATCCTAACATTTGGCCTTTTTTTTTCTTTGCACAAAGTGGCCACTCTCAGACTTGAACCCCCATTCTAACATTTTCTGGCCAGAAATTTTACCAGTACACCAAGTAACGGAGAGTTAAGAAAGAAAAGGTAAATGAAAATTTTCTTGGAAACCGAAAGCAAACTCAAAGTTATTATTTCTCACAAAGTTAACAATGAAGATTCAAAGCCATCAGCAACAAAGCATACCTGGAAGAATGCCAAGTCCTTGAACTCCAAAGAAACAGCTTGCTATTTCATAGGTATACACATTATCACCCTGGCTTGCAAGAGCAGCAAAAGTTGCATCTCGGCATGTACTCAATGTAATATTATCTTCAGCTCCTATAAGGTGGCGAAGGTATAAAATGCTGGCATTTAAGCATCTCCTGCATCTACTTCCCTCTGAAAGTGGCAATTTGCAGTTCTCTGTGACATCCTCAAATTTTGGTGATTGCAACATCTGCATAACAGTTGTTCGGCCCATGCACTCATAAGTAACTGGAATTTTTGTACCAAGTGCACAGAAAACTGTTGCATTCTGTGGAATTCCATATAGTTTTAGGGTCTCTGATATGGAGTGGAGACAGATGTCAGACAACTCTGAAGGAACACCCAGGTTGCTAGACACATTGGCATAGCGAGCAACAGAAACTGCCACAAAAGCATTGATATAACGGCAGCACTTTCCTCTATCTTCTTTGTTAGAGCACAAAGAGGATGCAAGAGTAAAATTTGACCCACTCAAATCAAGGGGACAATCTGCATGGATATCAGGAAAAAGGAGCATGTAAAGTAGTTCTGTGTTTCAAGCTATCATGCAAATGCAATAGTAACAAAAACTACTGTGAAGTATGAATAACCAATACGAACAAATAATACATTAACAATCAGTCAAACTGCAAACTGTTACACTAGCCACTAGGAGAACATTATAAAATGACAAGTGAGTGAAAACAGGAGCAATCGAACAGAAAAAAAAAAAAAAAAGCACTCTAATCAAGTAGGAAACAACCAAGAATCAACTTACCATGGACAAGTTAAGAGCAAACAGCAATGATAAATTTAGGGGTTCAAACCTACTGAAGCATATGAGGTGAAGAAAAATTGACAGCATTCACCTTTAAACATAGACAATATCACAAAAAAGAATTCAAGGCATTTCTCAACAAATTTGTCTCATTGCTGAAGCAAAATATAACATGGCATCCATCTATGACAAAGATAGCAGCACCAATATCAATTTCGGAAAATAGGAAGTCCATGATGTGAAAGATAGGCCATTGATAAGAACATTTACCAATGAACAAGACTACATAATAAGAGGCTCAGCAGACCTAGTGACTTCACGAGAAATGAAGACGACAGTAGGATCCCTCTTGTGAAAGCAAGGAGTTGCCATATTAAAGAAAATGCAAGGAATAAATGAGAGAAGAAATAATGTTGTAATATAAGAGGGGGGAGATTCAAAGCATTGGGCCATTAGCCATGGCTAACACTGTAAATGAGCTGAGCCTGAGCCTCAAACTCTACCAGCTTGTGCAAGCATGCCTGAGTCAAGCTTGAGTGGGTTCAGCTTAGTCCACTATTGTCAGATTCTGATCGGATGGGATGGTCAAACCATCAGACCAGGAACCTGCAGCCAAAATGGTCTTGGGGTGCTCTATTCTTACAAATGTTGACTTGGTCAAAGTTACTGCAAATATGTGTTAGTAGGTATTGTAACATATAATATCTATTGTTCTAAGCTTATAGTGGTGTAAAATAGCTTTAAAAGATAATCTAGAAATTATTACTATTTTTTCTAAATTTTTTCCCACATTTTTTATTTGAGCACGTCAAGAACCAAATTCCTAGATTGTTTGACCTATGGATTATGGCCCAACTAAACAGTTTTACATCCTATTTGATTCTAACAACACTGACTCAGTTAAGTTCATCCCCTTGAGATGTTAAATTATATATCTTACATAAATCATATTGTGCATATAATAAATACAAAAATTGTAGTTTCTTGGTTTTTACTCTTCTTTTAATATATACTAGTTGTAGGGCCCAAATCATGGATGGCATTTTGTTTGTTTGATAGTTAACTCTATACTTTCAGTATAAAAGAGATGGGAAATTACTCATCAAAAAAAAAAAAAAAAAAAAGACATGGGAAACTTATTTTGAAAAATCATTAACATACAATTGTTAATTGGAGCAAACCAATAAGATGCCCAGCAACATAGCAAGGACATCTATTTATATAACTTAGTTGCCTTTAGTTGTTTACCAGTTCAGTAGTAAACAGTACTGATTTTTTTTCCTCTTTTTGACAAGGAACAGAATTTCATTTATGTAAAAACAAGCTACCCCAACGGGAGTAGAAGTCCAATAGATACAAAGCCATTTTGGCTTACCCAGTACATATCAGATTTTTTTTATCAGCAACAGTACATATCAGAATTTTCAATATATTACAGAAATATTACCCTACCCTTATTCTCCCCAGTCCAATAACTGTTTAACTGGTCCAGCTTAAAAGACATCGCAAATTTACATCAAAATATTTCAACTATTATACTGGCCCCTTTTATGGTGAAAACTTTACTTCTGTCCTTTTAACTTTTTTGATGTAGAAAACACAGGAAACAAAGTTTTTGCCTTAAAATGGGTGAAAATAGAGTTGAAATGCAATGCTATTTAAAACAATTAATCTTTTTTTAATAATTTGTTACAAAAATGATTTAGTAATTAAGCAATTTGGATTAATTATATTAATAATTTTTAACAAAAATAATAAATTACTGGTAATGATTTAATAAAATAATTATTTTCCATATTATCTTTTAGTGTTCTATTTTATTTATTTTACTTTATTAATGATTAAATGCTACAATTTGTTGTAAAAATTACTTAAATATTTAAAATACTAAATATCAGTGAATATATAAAATTAGGTTCTAGTCATAATTAAATTAATCTAACCCCGAGATCAAGGTTTAAGACTTTAGGTTGGGCTTGGGTTGATCCTCAACCTGAACCAACCCGCCTAAGTTGCACCCCTAGTTGGGGATTTCCCTATGAAAGAAATCTGGTATAAGCCTATTCCCCCAAAAATTCAAGCTCTCTATTGGGAAATGTTCCTTGGTAAGATAAATACTTGTGATATGCTACAAAGAAGAAGGCCTTATGCTTGCCTTTCTCCTAACATGTGCTCTCTTTGTAAGGAAAGTGGTGAGACCCTATTTCGTTTATTAATATCCTGTTAATTTGTGCATTGAATTTGGAAATTCTTTTTGTATTCTCTTTGGCTGAAGGTGGGTTCCCCCTCAAGATGTGGTAGGCCTTTTCAACCGTGACTTATTGAGGGAACCAAAGAAAAGAGGGATGATAGTGTGGAAAGCTACGAAGGCAGCAATATTGGTATCATGCCTTTATCAAATTTGAACAATGCTGCTTTAGCTTTGTCCAACTCAAACTTTCTTTCAGTCTAGAAGAGTAGAAGATTCTTCTACTCTTTTAATAATAATTTTGTTTAGATTCACCCACTTTTCCAAAGACTTCTTTGTTCCATCTTTTCAAATTTGGTTTGATGTATTGGGGTCTTCTTCATGATCCTTAATCCCACCCAACTAGCCATATTCGTTTCATTTCACTGATAAATAATAAGCAAGGATGGCCAATAAGTCATATGATCTTAAGCTCAATGCCGATGCCGCACTCATAATTTTTTCAAAAGAAAGAACAAAAAGGCAGTAATATAGCATGTTCTTCTGTTCTTTTACCAGTGGTAATCTCCCATGTTCTATGTTCTGCTTCTGCCTGATCAACATAACGCCCCCCCCCCCACCACCAAAAAAAAAAAGAACTACCCAATTTGCAGCAAACAAGACAGGTTTGCATATTGCTCATGAACAAAGTTGCCTTTTAGTCAAACTACATATATTGCTTACATCATGCCTAAGGTTTCCTCACTTGATTCTCTTAGTGTTTTCAGTGCTTTGTCATGCATATCATCATGAAAGTTTAAAGTAATGGAGATATGTAATATCTTGGGGTTAATGTGTAGAAGCTAAGCAATATTTGAGTGTTAGTCACTTGGTCTCACTTTATGATTGAGATAGTCCACATTTAAGATACTGACCCCTAGTTGCAATTTGCCACAGGTGTTCAGCTTATGAAGCTATGATACCTTAGCCAGAGGGAAGAGAAACCCTTCCCTAATAACACCAAGTCAATAGGTGTGCACAATTATGCCTTCCCCCCACCCCATCTTTAGGCTCATTGTCTGCAACATCAATCGGAAAGGAAAGCAAGGATGCCTATCATTTACCATTGGATTTGACCACATATGATCCTTGAAGAATTACCCCACAATGGCTGTGATTTTTAGTACATGAAACACAGGGGACCACTAAAATATGCATATTTTATTTTAGTGATAACTACAGCTAATAAGGACACTGAATTCCTGCGCTTGGCTGGAACTTATTAACGTTTTCTCTAGAAGGTGTCACCGATAATAATGGTGGCTGGCTTAGAGATCGATTTCCTAGCAGCCTACCCAACCGGAAGCAAAAAACGTGATACTTCACCAAAGCAAAAATTGCGGAAATGGTTAATAATACCCATTCGCTCTGGTCCCCGAACCACACAGACTGCCATTCCAAAGAAACCCAGTATAAGATTCACTACCTCCGCTGAAAAGTCGTCAAAGAAACTCAAAGTTTTCAGATGATATAAACATTTCGTAAATGCCCCCAATAAACCAAAATGCAAACAACAAAAAGAAAATAAAACTGTAAGTACAACATCTGGAATTTTGAACTTTGAGGAGATCTTCCAACACTCGACTGTAACCCAAATGATATTTCCCAGAACCCCAAAACTATACAAGAAGATGCATTTTAACAATTTGGAGAGTTTACTTCTAACATACAATCAAACCCAAACTAAGAATACCCATTCTTAGATTCACCATCCTCTGTTTCCGAAAAAAAAAAAACGTCAACTAAATCCAAAATACGATTGAGAATGATGGTCCTTGATCAGAAAGAAGAACAGCTCACGAATTGAACGGGTCTGAGAGTACACCTCTCACATTTTTTCCTTTACTCTCTGTTGAAGGGTAAGAACAAAGTTTAAAATGGAGAAAGAAATAAAAAGGACTGACCTCCCATGACCCTAAGCTGCACCTCAAGAAAAGCCAGTAAACACACGAGGACGGCTGCTCCGAACGCCATAATAGCTGAGACAGGAGGATCGCCACGCTGTGTGGGTTTGGCTGTTTGAGTGCGTCTGTGTGCTGTGTGCGAGTGCGAGGAGAGAATAGCAGTTAGTGAGAGTGGAAGGGAGACCAGACTCAAGCGGGTATACGGAGACCGCCCGAGTTTTCGAGTCTGCAGGGATCAATACACACGCTGACAAAATTTGGGTCCCGCGGAGGCCCCACGACAGACTGCCCGAGAGTAGGGAGTGGGACCCAAAACGTTCTTCGAGGCAGTTGAGAATTGAGACTAGATATAACAGATCAGACTGGAGAGGAACGTGACACCCGGAAACCCTTGCAGTTGCAGGAGATGGTGATAGAATAGAATCTAGGGCTTGTAAATATAGGCATCCGCCGTTGGATAGGAATTTTGTGAAACATCTAAATGCACAAGTGTTGATGGGTTTACCCGGTTCATCAAATGGTTTCGGATCCTCCGGAACCAAACCATTAGTTCATGGGGTTTTTATTGCTCAGTTCCACACTATGACACTATAAACTTTACTACAGCAGTATGTATATATATATATGAATAGTAGTTATTACATATAACTAGGGTTAGTGTAACAGCAGTATATATAATAGTTAGATTTAACTTTTATGATCTATACGAAACTCAAGGGCAAGTATTTGATTTATACGGTATACTTACATTACAGTATTAAAGACAGGGAAATCTATACGTACCTTTAGGCAATGTTTAAACGGTATACGGTATACTTACATTTGTAGAGGATTTCCTTCCTTTACCTACCCTTTTCCTTCAAACCAAATACTGCTTAATAGTTGTAAGATGGCATTCCTCTCAAGTCTCCAGAAGAATGTCGTTGAAGTCCCAGATGGCATTGGAAATTTTGCCGGTTGTAAGGAATAGGGATGTCAATGGGTCGGGTTAATAGTAAACTAACTCTAACCTGACCTTAGGCCTATCGGGTTAAGTTGAATCAGTGTTAATCGGGTTTTGAGCGAAATTGCCCGAACCACATCCGTTGATATTGTAGTTTTGAAATATTAGTTTATATGTATTGACAAATTGGGTATAGGTTTGGATTTGGGTTAGATTCAAAGTTGAGGTTACTTTGGGTTGAGGCAAAGTTGTACCAAACTCAATCGGTGGTAATGGAGATTTGAGATCAAATCCCGCCAAAATCAGGAGATTGGTCAGATGAGGAAATCAGAACAAGAGCAAGAAAGCCATGAAAATTTGGTCACTCTTGTGAAACTTTTTATCAATGACAAAGAAGAGCAGTTTCTCACTGTCTTGAGATTGTGAAATATTGAAAACACATTAATTACATGGACCCCATTTTCTTGAGAAAATGGTCATACTTGGGATATCGGCCAACACTACCTACAACTCCAGGGACATGGTGTTTTGTCGTTGATGAAGAGGGCGTCCTTCTTCTGTAAGTCATCTTGAATCTTGAAGAAAAAGAAGCTTAGTCATCGCAATAGAAAGCTCCCCTTTTTGCTGATATATTTGATCCATTTGCTGAATAAGTGAAATCTGGCAATGACTACAATAATGTTTTCGTTCCTGGTTCAGCTCTTTTTTTCCAGCTGCAATAAGTGGTTTAGTTTTAATCACCTTTTATTCGACTTCATTTGTTTGCATCAGGGATAAATGAAAAATATTCTTGACCTTTCAAGGTATATTTTACTTGCTAAAATGAATAAATTCATTGATCAACAAGTAACTTTTTATCTATTTTGGTAATCTTAATTCAGGAAAAGTGAAATTTGCCAACTTTCAAGTAAAATTGCCTTGAGATCTCATATATAGGCTTTGCACTAGGAGCAAATATTCAATATTTGTGATACCCTTGTTGTAAGACTCAGACCTGACCAAAAACTAGTAATGGGTGGTCTTTTTGGGCCTTGATTAAGGGATGTTTTATATAATGTAGATAAGAAATCAGTGGGTCTAGACTAGTCCACACCATCACTTTGGTAGGAATCAATCCACACCACACCATAGTCCATAACTATTTTGGATTATGGATAAACAATGTGGATTGGACCAATCCACATCCACAATGGTGTTTTATAAGTGTGGTGTAGACCAGTCCACTTCACACATTTTGATTCTATGCATTTAATCATAAATGTCTAATTTTTACACCATATAATAAATAAATTAAAAAATATTGATAAATTAATATTAACCAATAAATATTTATTTTAATAAAATGATTTAAGAATAAAATAAAAATATTATTTATTGATAAAAACATTAAAGTGGTGTTCGGTTTCGTTGTTGTCCACGATATATTGCATTTGAAAACAAACTGCTGCTCATTTATGTCATTCTGTTTTGTGTGGTGTGGAAATGGAATCCACGTGCAATTCACGTGAAGTCTTATATTGTAATTTAAAATTTTTAATAATAATAAATTTTTATTGTAATTTAAAATGGAATATGAAATTTAATAATAATAAATCTTTATTGTAATTTAAAATTTCCACGTGCAATCCACATGAAGTCAAAATTTTTTGTTTATATTTACATACATATAGTATATTTATTTATACTATTAAAAGCACAAATGAGGGTGTGAAACTTTACTAAACTACCCATATTTCTTAATTTAGTCCCTCTTTAATTATAAGGGCTAATAATGTAATATCATTTATAATTTTCACCATATTTAATCCCCACTCATGAAATCTTATATTTAAGGTATTAACTCACATTCTCTTACATTAAATCTTGTATTTAAGGTATTTTTATTTAATAATTATAATAATTAGATCTTTATCAAATACATAAATAATTTTTAATAATATGAAACCCATGTTTTAAAGGTTAAAATGCTAAAACATCACCTGAGTTTTCTAACCATTGCTGAAAACCTCCCTTGAAGTTTGGTAATTGCAATCATCACCCTTGAACTTTAACATAGTTGCAAGTAGAACCTTCTCTTGTATTCCTCTAACAAGAGACATGAAAATGTCTAAAATGACCATGTAGTTACTTTGACTAAAATGTTTATTTTCCAAGTTTTCCCTTCATATCAATTACTACCTTAAACCCTTTCAACCTTTTCTGAAATTGATTTATTTTATAATTTTTCCCTTCATATGAATCCTTCAAAGGTAAAGTTGTAATTTTAAACTTTTTTTGTCATTTAAAGTTTGTATTGTTTTTTATCCAAAATCTAGACTCAATAGTAACCACATGGGTATTTTGGACATTTATGTAACTCTTGTTAGAGGGTTCTAAGAGAGAAGGGGCTACTTGCAACTGTATTAGAAAATTTAAGGGAGGCGATTGCAATTACAAAACTTCAAGGGAGATTTCAACAAAGGTCAAAAACCTTAGGGGAGATTTCAGTAATTTATCCTTTTTCCAAATTAACCAAAAAAAAAAAAAAAACCATTCTTCCATCCAAGTGGTGGATAAGCCAATTCAACCATCTAGTCCAATTGGATGAATCCATGATGTCATAGTTAAATAAAAAAAAAATGTAGAAAAAATGGATCATTTCTCTAATATTTTATATTAATCATATTAAATTAAAAATAAGTGTCATAAACAAGAATTGTTTTTATTGACAATGCAAATGAACTACAAATTTTAAAACCAACAAAAAAATGAAAATTGATTTCCTATTTGGCCTAGGTCAATAGTTCAACTTTTATGTCAAATGTGTCAATATTTGATGTCATAAATCTTAATTAAATAATAAAAATTGAAAACATGATAAAAACTCAAAAAATGAAAAATACATAAATTTTGCAAAAAAAAATTGGGCGCATCTCTAATATTGTATATTCATCATATTAAACAAAAACAAGTGATGTAAATAAGAATGATTTTTATACACATAGAAATATAAAAAATGTAATTTGAATTTAGTCCGTTTTTATTTGTGTGGGTAAAAAAATAATTACAACTATTATTTTTCATCTCATTCAAATCCTTCTCATTAAGTTATATATTTTAGGAGCATCCATTCTCTCTCATTAAGTGATATATTTAAGTGGACTCTACTCAAGAAATAATTAGTGTTTGCAAATTGTCTTGGCCCAACTGGTCAAATAATTAAAATCACCACTTGGTAATAATTTTGGTTTTGAATCAACCTCAAACTCACCAATAGCTTAAAATTTGTTGGCCAAAATTCATTCGACCCAAATGGTTGATCATTGACTTGCTCGACTCGGGTAATAGGTAACAGGTCACAAGTTACAACTTACATGCAAAATTTTAGAGATCATAACTTTATGCTCAGTTGTTCAATTGGGGTGATTTTTTTTTTTAATTTTATGTAACTTTTTGCCATTTATGTAATGCCATGCATCTTGGCCCATTATTTTTGCTAAGCTTTGTTTGGTCTCTGGGAAGATTTGGGTAGGATGAGATGAGAAAGTGTGAATTTTTCACTTTCCATTGTTTGGTTATACAAAGGAAAACAGTGGGAAATTTCCTTTTTCCTTGTTTGTTTTGTGTGAGGAAAACAAGTTTGTTCAAGGAAGATAGAGGGGAGGAAGAAGAAAACAAGTATGATTGAGGAAGATAGATTTGAACCCCTCCCCCAAATCTTAGTATCGCCCCCAAAGTCAACGGCTTCAATTTGCAAAAAAATGGGATAAAAAAGTTAGATCTAGGAACCCAATGACTAATGTTAGATCTAATTGACAAAAATGTTAGTTTTACAAATGGAAATCCCACTTTGTTTTATAGTTAGTTTAACTACAAAGAATGCTTTGATTTAATGTTAGTTCTACAAATGTAAAAATGTTAGTTGTTGGTTTGGTAGATTTATAAAGATGTTAGTTTTACATATAGAAATGTTAGATCTAGGAATCCAATAACCAGATCTGTAAATTTTATAGATTTAACAATCATGTCGTTCTTATTTTTACAGATAAAAATCCCACACACATCAATGACATTTCCACATCCCAAATTTTAAGTGTTAGTTGTTAGTTTCGTCAGTTGGTAGACATGGAAAAAATGAAAATGAAATAAAATGGAGGTTGTCAGAGAAGAATGGAGTTTCACTCTAGCCAAACCTTTGCTAGAGACATTGAAGGAAACAACTCGGGCTCCAACCATTGAGGCAGGGGCGGAGCTAGCCCCTTTACTCATGTTTCCTAACTTTTGGCTCCCCCTATCCATGTTTTTTAGGTTTTGACCCCCTCAATAAAAAATCGTAGCTCCACCCTTGCATCGAGGGGGAATAAAGGGATGGGGAAGAAGGAAGAACGAGTAAAAAAAAAGAAGCAAGTAAGCAAAGGATATAGAGGTTGAACAAAAAGAGTCTCTCGAGATTTTCTACTCTGCAGACAAGACTCGAAATATTTTCTCAATAGAGTTTCTTCACTGGGGTCACACTATTTTTGTGCAATCCAGCCTACTTGATTTTGGAATCCGGCATTCCACATTTTCCCCATCCCATCCCCTATTTACCTCAAAACAAATAAAGGAAAAAGAAATATTCTTGAAATATTCCCTTTTTCCGCTACGCATCCCACAAACCAAACACAAGGCCTCTTTTTGCCTCAAGTCTCAATTTTCAGCTTTTTTATATTTATAAAAAATTAAAAATAAAAATTAGACGTAAGTATATATAATGGAGCAGGCTTAGGTTTTAAGCTAATCCATCAAATTTTCGATTCCATGAAAATGAAAAATTAGAGGAAATCATCTGTCGTTTATTTGCGTAAGGAACCAAACGCAGCCCTAAAAGCATTCAAAGTCATCATTAGTATCTAACAAGGCACGTGCATCCTACTAACTAATAAACAAGACTTACCTATCCAAAAAAGAAAAAAACAAGGACCGACTCGTTCCACCTTGTACCACTCTATCAACCATCATGTAGCAGGTAGAGATTACAGAAACTTTACGCGTGTGGCTGGTCTGATCTGACTGATCTCTTTTCGTTTGCGTTTTCTTTTTTCAAAATAGCGCCTCATTAATGAAAGCAGATGGAATCAAATTCGTGTGTTTCATACTTTAATATCAAGACAAGAAAGGAGAGGAGGATAATCCTTTCTATAAGACTCCATAACCAACCAAAATTGACTTCGAAATTTTCTCCCCCTTAGCGGTCAACAATGCAATGTTGTAATTTCTGTCCTGATTTGTACAAATCTTCTCTCACAAATAACCATCAATCCGTCCACAGAGAGAGAGAGAGAGAATCAATTGTATGATTTGGTTCACACTAATGCAGCACAATGAGTTATCTGGTGTCACCCAATTGTTAAATTGTTTGATCACGGTCTATGGGCAGGCGAAGGGGATTTCGTTTGTTTTGATTTTTCCGATTTGATTATTGTTTAATGATCTGTAACTCATCAAATTAAATTCAAACTCAATTTATTTATTTATTATTCCCCATTCTAATTGCTATAGTTTAGTTATTGGTGGAAGAAGTACCGGAAATTGAAAAGCTAACAACTTAAAAAACGGTGCCGAAAAGCAAGAAAGGGATAACACTCTTCCCCTACATAATCCCCACTTCGTTTCGCTTATACGTCTCTGCTGCTTTTTTTTTTTCTTTCTTTCTTTTGGGCAATCCATTCCCTCTGCTTCTTCAAGGTTCAATCTCTGAAACCTTGAAGGAGGGGAGAAACCCAGGAAACTAAAACAAATGACAAAATGCTAGAGAGACAGCGACAGCGACAGCGACAGAGATAGAGAGAGACACAGACAGAGAGAGAAAGAAACCCTGCAACTAATACTCTGCCTTTCTGGATTAACAACGAATGCTAGAGATGAAGGCATGTAATTTTGCTATCTCCATGTCTCACCTCCTTCGTCATTGTGGTAATATCTATATTTATTAGAGCATTCTAACTCTCATGAGTCATGTCTACTTGCAGACCAGAAGCTTCCTTTGCAATCTCTCCATTGCAGTTGTGTTTTTGGCCGCTTATCTCTTCACCTCTTCTTCCGCTCTCAAGGTACTTCTTCTTTTACTTCTTGTACATGTTAACAACAAAAAGCTACTCGGATCTCTCTCTCTCTCCCCAAGTCTTACCATTGTTTCTCTTCATCAGCAAGGGCAAATCTGCGTTAAGGACAGCAATTGTGATGCCGGGTTGCATTGTGAAACGTGCGTCTCAAACGGAAACCTCCGGCCAAGATGTACTCGAGTCCGACCATTGAATCCGACATCAAAGGTGACTAGAAAATTTTAAGCTCTGATCTTTTGGTGTCAAATGTTGTTTACGATTCTTCATCTTGTATTATGTTGTTTTTTACTTTTTAGGTAAAAGGGCTGCCGTTCAATCGGTATTCATGGCTAACGACGCACAACTCGTTTGCTCTTTTGGGAGCCAAGCCGGGCATAGGATCTGTTCTTCTCGCTCCTGAAAACCAGCAAGACTCCATCACCAGTCAGCTCAACGTAAGTCAAATCCTTCCTCTTTTTTCATTCATGCTTCCTGGATATGCCACCCCGGGAACTGAATCCGCATTTGCTCCTCATATAGCGCTCTTCACGCCAAACTCATAGAGCACTTGAAAGTTAAGACAGCCGTGCATCGGGAAATCTACTTACATGTTGTCGTTCACGGGGATGAGGAGATGTTTCCAATGCACGGCTGCAACGTGCTGTGAGGAGCAGGTCCGGATTTCCGAGAATTCGCCGGAAAGTAGGTAGTTAGCCGGTGACGGTTGATTTGATTGCTTCTGAGTTATGAGTTCTGTCCATCTGCAATTTTAGAGACGCTCTCACTCTGCCTTGCACGCTTTTCAAGTTTACCCTTTACGGAGGGAGCTACTGTCGAAACACCAAAACAAAGCTCCTGCCGTCCTTTTCCAATAAAGAGGAAAGCAACATTTCACTGGCTTTCCCTACTCAAATAAAAGCCCATTCATTTTATTCAATATTTCAATCTAACCATTTTAAAATTTGAATTATTCAAGAACGAAATCCGATAATCGGTATACGTGGAGGTGGTAAATGATAAACAAAACAAAAACAATGGCTTGGGCGAATGTTTTACCATCTGAAAATAATAATATGATTACTTAAATTAAAGTAAAAAAATGTTCAAACCGAATCGGTCAGGGGTCTAGTTACCGGTTCGAACGGTCTGACTGTTTGACCTGAATGATTGGCTCATTCTGACAAAAAAATAAAAAATTTGAATAATGATCAAAACCGTTCAAACGGTTTGAATAATTAATCGACTGGTTCAGCGGTTTATTGATCAAATCAATGATTTTGAGAAAAATAGAGGAGGTGACCGGTTCCCGGTTTTTTCGGTCTGACCGCCCTGTTTGGTCCAATTTTGAAGACTATGCATAGAATTATAGTTGTTTATTTCAACTACCTTTAAACAGAGTGAACAAAAGTATCCCTATCACTTTTTTGTTTAAAAAAAAACAAAATTGATAAAATAAAAAATAGAGTGATTGTTTCAGGGGCAAAAATGATATATTCATATTTAATTTAATTGAATGGATCTTAAGGTTAAAATTGTTATTTTTCAATGATTAAGTAAGTTGATTGCAACGGAAAGATAGATTTTAGCAAATTCAAAAAAAATTATAAGGGGTATTTTAGTAAATGGCTCGAGTAGGTAGATTGAATGCAATTGGCACGACCCATCCATCATGGTTTGGTTTAATGATGAACTGACATCCAGCTGGTAAGTTTTGCAGCATGTTATTTATTTAGACACTGGTATTTTGATTTGTGATCATTGATCAAACAACACTCCTTTTCTCAATCTGTCTGGTATTGGATTTTTAGTTGGGTTAGAAAATTAAATTGGATTTGATTTGTGTTAAAGGGTATGTGATAATTTATTTTTTAAATTCGAATAAAAAATAACATAACTATAGAATTAGCATAGTCTTCTACATATAGTTTTATTTTGAATAAAAAATTATTTGGCTTTTTTAATGGAGGGACCAGCCACGTGTTCAAAGGAGAGCCTTCTTGTCTTGTGGCTCTGCTTTAATAATTTAGATATATTCCAAAACATCCCTATACGGGCTATAACCCATTGAATTTGTTTCATATTAATTATGCAAAGCTACTGTTTTTGTTTTATACTAATTGTGAGTGGGGCTTATTGTATGTCACATGGACTTTGGCTTTTGTTTTTTTTTTGGTTTCTCAAATCTCACCTGCTTCAGTCCTTGTCTTTGAATGTTTTTTTCTTTTCTCTTAAGGCCTCGTTTGATTTTTGGTATTTCACTTATATTGGTATCATTTATCTGTATGATTGACACGCATATGGGGGTGGCAATTTGCATTATATTTGGGTCACTATGAACACAATATGATTAATTGATCGTGTCAATTTCACAAGTATGAACACAATTTGTTTATTGCATATAAAATGATACAACCCGCATAATACGAATTAATATATTTAACCTCTGTACCAAATTACACATATAACCTAAATTAACACGAAATCTACATATAGATTTAGATGGTAAAATAAACGTTTTGATAATGTATTATTTAGACAAATTCATAAAAACAGTTCAGTTTCGTCGTCCCTACTACCCATAATAATATTTTATCCAAATAAACAAACATTATCTAATAATTGAAACTTTTGACACATTTATTAATTAGGTTAAATGAATAGACATGATTTTAATAAGACAAATCCAAATTCACCAACTTTGTATGTTATTTATCTGTCAAGTATTACCGGTCTTTCTCACACGCATGAAAAATAAAAAATAAAAAATTATTGGTGGGACTTGCGTGCTCAAAAGTGCCAACTTACTGAAAGGAACAAGCACAACTTAATGTTGTCGTAACCAATAGACAATGGTTTGCTTACTTTGGTGGATACCCACCCTTGGGTTTCAGGAACTGATAATGGAAAAAAAAAAGTCAATGTTTCAGACTTTTAGTAGTTAGTACTAGAAATCTTGTACAAAGACTATAATATTGATCTACCTAAAAAGAAAGAGAATTATATATCGGAATGTTTTTGGTAACTAACTACAATTCCTCCGGTACTCCAGTTGAGCCTCACTCAACCCCAGAAATTAAAATCCCAGCCCCATTTGTTTTAGTTTTAGGTCAAGGTTGATGGCAGCTTCATGCCATAAAGAAGAAGTGTACTTTTCCAGTTTATCCCAAAAAAGAATTTATTAATAAATTATGCTTCTATTGATGCTCAACAAGTTTCCAAGCAAAGAAACGGTGGCATTGATGATGAGTGTAGTACCTGTCCCCACCATACAAGTGTGTACATGTTGGTTGCAGAGAGAACAAATGACTCTGTAATGTCAAACTAGCTGCAAATTAATATAATATGTCATGCAAACATGTGCTGCAACAGCACTCCGTGTTTCTTTGGTACTACACAACCAAAACCAATTTCAGCATCAAACCATGATTTCTCACAAATCAAAATTTCCATTTCCGCTGAACACAACCAAAACATTTCTTTTCTTTTTCTTTTTTTATCTTTTCATTTTGGTTGCTTGAATTGAAATAAGATGCATTAATATTTAGTAGCACCGAGTTTGCTCTCTCTGTTAACAAATAACAACTGAGCTCTATTTGCAGAATGGAGTTAGGGGGCTGATGCTTGATATGTATGACTTCAACAGTGACATCTGGCTATGTCATTCATTCGGTGGCCAATGCTACAACTTCACTGCATTTGTGAGTGTGGCCTTGTGTTGTATGTGTGCCATTAAATTTTTAGAGTCGATTCTCTTATCTGCTTTGGTCTTATTTGTGGATAATTTGATTGTAAAACTGTTTAACCAGCAACCGGCCATTAACGTGTTGAAAGAGATTCAATTGTTCCTTGAGGCAAACCCCACAGAGATAATCACCATCTTCATTGAAGACTATGTCACATCCCCACGAGGCCTGACCAATGTCTTCAATGCTGCCGGCCTTAGGAAATACTGGTTTCCGGTGTCTCGGATGCCTAAGAATGGAGGAGATTGGCCAACGGTTGATGACATGGTCCGTCAGAATCAGCGTTTGGTGGTCTTCACCTCTAAATCTGCCAAGGAAGCTTCTGAGGGCATCGCATATGAATGGAGATACCTTGTAGAGAATCAATGTAAGTCTTTATTGAGCACCCTCCCTCCCCCAGAAAAGAACAAAGGAATTGAAGTTTTTATTGCTAAGATTAAATGACATAATTATCAAGATCAAAGCTGAGGACCTGATTCCGGTGGTGGGCTAAAATAACAGATGGCGATGGTGGGATGAAAGCGGGTTCTTGTCCAAATCGTGCAGAATCATCTCCCATGAATACAACGACGAGGTCACTTGTTCTTCAGAACTACTTCCCTAATAACCCAAATATTGTGGAAGCTTGCAAACATAATTCAGCGCCACTCGTTAGCATGATGGGAACTTGCTATGAAGCAGCTGGTAAACGATGGCCCAACTTCATCACTGTTGATTTCTACAAGGTATTGATTTTTCAGCATTCCACATAGGCACATAAAAAGTTCCTTCTTTCTACAAAAGTAAGGAATAATCAATGTACTTCTACCTTAATTATGGCCATTACTTATTTACAGAGGAGTGACGGAGGGGGAGCCTCAGAAGCTGTAGATGTAGCAAACGGTCATCTAGCTTGTGGGTGCACCAACATAGCCTATTGCAAGGTATTCTTGATACACTATTTGTTATTGTTACTAGCACCACCCATTATACACTTGTGTTTTTGTTGCATTTGCACAAAGAATCTGATGAAGCCGTGGCGGTTAAATTTAAACAGCGTCTTCTTTCCTCGGCAATTGCTTTTAAACACCCTTGTATGACTATCAATTCACAAATGCTTGTACAGCTCTCTGTTCTTTCTTAATCAGTAAATCTTTAATTAGCTTTAAAGATTAAACATCATTTAGTAAGACTGGATTCTTGTAGTAAGCTAGAGTTGTACAGACTTTGTTTAAAAGAAAGAGAGAAAAAAATGTCTTTTATGCTATTAAGTTTGCACCCAACTACTCAAGAATCAAAGTGGTCATCAGCTTATGTTGTGAAACAAAACTTGAACATATGAAACAAGTGTTGATATTAATTTTAATTTGTACCCAACTACCCAATAATCAGTAAATCGAAGTGTTGATTTATTTTGGTGAGGTCTGATATTGGGATTTGACTTTGTCTCTCTGTATTTGTTATTGTGAACAGGCAAATGCGACTTTTGGAACATGTGAGATCCCTGAGGCGAGTGCTGGCCCTACAGCTGCAGCAGGTAACGAGACTGGCGCCGCTTCCTTAAGAAGTAGAGTATCGTTCCAGCATTGGGGGTTGCTAGGGACGGTCTTGATAGCTGCTTTCTCTTCCTAATTTAAAAGCTTTAATTATATGTATGGTTTGGCATGAAATAACTGTTCTTTGTAAAGGGGGAAGAGGGAAAGAATGTCCTAAACACGAAGACGATACATGACCCCCATTTAGGTTTGTATTTATGGAGTTGGGTCTATTAGAAATATTGAAAAATATTAAATTTAATTAGCATCCTTCTCAATGTATTTATGGACCTTCTGTACTATACAAGTTATGATTTCTGTTTTCTTAATGGATGCCGTGAATGCACACATCATAAGCTGATTTAGATTTTAGATTGCTTCACGACTTGTCTTTTTAATTTTTATTGTTGGCATATTCCCTTGTCGGACTCGACGATTCGGACCACGCCATATTCTAATTTAATAATCCCTTAAAGACAACAACAATGAGATTCGGTCTCCTATCCGGCATAGCTCCATCCGAGGGGCTATGGGTTTGATACTTTGAACAGTTTATGGTTTTTCATGTCCACCTCATCGTGAATCGTGATTAGACCGTTTCTGTTGTTTGGGCAAGAAAGGAACTTTGTTTTTACCACATGAAACTTGGAATGGGTAAAGAGGGTATACCGTAGACCAATTATTGTCCTATATATGCAAATAAACTTGTGTCAAGAGAAAAAATGACCAATGCAATCTTTAAACAAAATTAAATTAGGTCATTCAAGAAATAAATACAATCCATGGTTACAACTTGCATGATTAAACAGGGAATGGACTCCGAGTCTGATTACAAATTGTTTTATAAATATACAGTATAATTGTGTACATATATTTATAGATTCTGAAATGGTCGAAGCTCATGCTCTGCATCTCGCAGTACATCTGGTGCCCAAGTTTCTGGGCAAGGATACATGCATGTGTCGTTGATGATTATTATTATCCCTCATGCAAAAATAAAGATAGCACATGTTTACCTGTTTGGTTTGGTTTGGTTTGAAAGAAAAGGTAGGAAAACCAAACACAGACACAGACACAGACACAGACACAGACACCCCTTTTCCTTTTCATATAATACCTTTTCTTTCTAACCAAACAGATACCCCTTGTCACCCGGTCTATCCGCCTATCCTCCCTAAATCCCTCAACCCTATTGAGGAGGAAGATCAGTAGAAGTGCCACTGCCTGCTGCCGCTCGCTCATTCCTTCTAATTTTATCTCAGTTTCATCATGTAAATAAACTCCAAAGAATCTGAAATGGGCTTAACCAAACTAAAAATCAAACCAAATCGAATTGAATTTAACTAAATCGATTCAAATAGCTTAACAGAAATGTCAATTGGATTCTTTGGTTTTAATTGAGTCAAATCGAATCAATCAAATGAACACCTCTAACTTCATACTCATGCTAAAGGAGAGAAAATTAGGGTTATTATCTAACACTCTCTTTCACTTTTATTTGTTTCTCCCATCACTTTTCAAAACCTCCAGAGATTCCGTTATTAAAGAACTTATGTTATCTAAAACTTACCTTCTATCGAGTCATTGTTAGTGACCACTAACAAAAATTGTCCAGGTAGGGCATTACTTACTATTAATTACCAAATTAGCATTAATCCTGTGTTAAATGGTCATTAAAAAAATTGTTTTTAATTACCAAATTGTTTTTTTTTCCCCTACTACCCATATATCCCAAGCCCATTTTTTCAACTCGAGCCTAGTCCGTACTATAATTTGATGTACTCATGTTGAGTTTGGGCCCATGTATAATTGGGCCGTGCTTGGACTGGGTTCGGACTACCTAAGGGCTAAGGGATAGGCCTGGGCCCAACCCAAAAAATAAAAAAAAAAACCTGATTTCTTGGGCCCAAACCCAGCCCGAGGACTGAAAATCCAAGCCCAGCCTGTATAAAATTTCGGGCTGGGCTGGTTCGGGCTCGGTTTGGGCCCGCCCAAGTTGCACCCCTAAGGGCCATCATATGTGAGATGTGCAGAAATGGATCGTGTTGAAAGAATTTTTGTTGGGAGGAGATCCGGTGGCCAGTTTAGGTCTGAACACTTTGCAGAAAGGAAATTGTACAATGGACTTAGTGAATTGGGCTCATGGGCTCTATACAAGGTTGAAAGTATTGGCACAGGCCGATATGCCGGTAGGGTGTATTTGTATTTTTTTATTTTATTTTATTTATTTATTTATTTTTTGAAATAGGTCCAGAGGGGTTGGTTTAAGGCCTGGTCATCCTTTGAACTAGTGCCTGACCCGCTACAATCCCTGGAGGGACGTATCAATAAGCCATCGGCACGACACAATACAGGCCAATACGCATAGATACTTTGAACCTTGGCTCATATGCCCTTTCATGATTTAATTAGACCCAAAATCACTCCCTATCTCCTTTTGTAGTTTTTTTTTTTACTTCTATGATGCGAAACTTGTAAGCCCCTTTCACTAAAAAAAGCCTGTTAAACTTGAATCACAAGGGGAATGATATTTATCATTAACTCTTCTGGTATAACGCTATGTAATAAACTTGGGTTTCCACACTTTTTTTGTGTGTGCTAAAATAGAAAAATACAAGAACGAAAGGAAAAAACAACACAAACAAACAAACAAACAAACTACAAGCTAAGCACTCCGAAGAGTAGCCCCTCTCCAGACATCAACAAGACATAGGAAAGATAATACTCGGCCGCTCAATATATATCCAATGTACTGTTCCTTTCATGACCTGCATTCGCCAAACAATCAGCTGCTTTATTGGCTTCCCTGAAGACATGAGTGTACTGAACGTTTAGCCTCCATTCTCGCAGATATTGTAGTATTCTTCGATGATTGCCTTCAAACTTCATGGGTGCAGCATCTCGACCTCTTAGGCAGTCAATACCAGTTTATAATGTTTGAACCTGTAAGCTTTTTTGGCAATTTCATGGGCTTCTAGAGCAGCCCAAGCCTCAGTGGTATTTATGGAGGATTGACCCACTTTTTTGCTTCTACTTGTCAATATCTCCCCCTGGTCACTTTTTGCTGTACATCCAATTGCAGTCCCTCCTTCAACTTTTCGTTGATTCAGGTGAAAAGATCCATCTCACCCTTAGGTTCTATTTTAAATTCTCTTTATCCTTGGGAATAAGAAGACTCTCACACTCTTCCCACTTTTCTCTAGCAATATTATGCAAGGTGGCTGGAGGAAAGATTTTATTTTTGAAAATCTTACCATTCCTATTCTTCCATAATCCCCACAGAATAAAAGAAATGATCTCCAAAATGCCCACCTGTTTACACTTTAGGCTCAGTTTTGGAAGGAATACAAATACAAATTATGTACCATATAAATACATACAAAATAATACAAAATACAAAGTTTTGCATTTTATATATTTGTATTTATAAAGGTTTAATTTAGAAAAAATACAAATACAAATACATACAAGGTTTTACACTTTACATATTCGTATTTATACTCCTTCCAAACCGAGCCTATGTTTTTAATAATCCTTTCCCACCACAAGATTACATTATCCCCCTCTTGCAAAGGTCTTAGATCTTCCCAGTGGAGTAGATTCCAAACCTGTTTGGCATGATCACAGTTGATGAAAATATGGTTAGAATCCTTTATTTCCCTACACAGACTACATTCCTCTTCTACATTCACCCCTCTCCTCCTTACTAAACTCTTAAGGGGAGTCTATTTAGCTATTAATAAGAACAACAAGTATTTTAGTTTTGGGGGAAGCAGTTCAAAGCCCACACTTTCCGCTGTTTCCAACAATAATTAGTAATTATTTTGTTCTCTTTTACTACCAAATTATAGGCTGATTTAAACGTAATTTCTCTTTTCGGATTTGGGTACCACACCAATGTATTTTATTTTTTCCAACGTTTTCGAACCGCTGTTGATCTGGATGGTCGGACCGTTCGGCCCGGAAACTGTTCAGGCAATTGGTTCCACTTTATCCCAAACCTAGAATCTGGTCAAAAACCATTGAAAAAGTTAACAAACCGTTGACTCGGGCGATCGAACCATCGACCCCGTTCAACAATTTTTGACCATTTTTTAATTATTTTTTTTTTTTAAGTTTACTATCAGAATGAACTGTCCATTCGAACTAGACGATCAGACCATCAACCCGAAACCAATGGCCAAAACGGTTCCAGATGGTTTTTTAAAACGTTGGTTTTTCCTTCGAAGGAATAATAATAGTTCTTATTTTATTCTAGTTTTCAATTCCCATCAGTCGACAAATCTTTGCTTCATCCCATTCCTTAGATATTTGTGTTTCCACACTTAGATCGCTTTGAGCGGAACATTAGCCGTCTTCTCATATATTTGTGTTTCATGCTAAATAATAGAAAAATACAATATTTGAGTCCGTGAGTGCTTAAAAGAGTTGGGTTTCAGTCCATCATCTTTGACAACATGGAGAGCTGGGCAGCCTCGTTTTTATGAAAATGTTGATGTTGCTTCAGAGACTTTGAATTCAACATTGTGAAATTCAAGCTATGGTCGTTTGGTCGGTAACTCTTTTTTTTGTCAATTTCTCTGTTAGGTTCAAGCAGAAAAGCAATGCCACATGAGTAATGCTGGCCTTACGGTACCCAATAATCCCGTCTGGGGCCTCCATCAGTGGCGAGGAACATTAATGTCCAGGGCCTCCAGGCCCAGGTCCATCATCCGTGATACATTATCTCTGTGGTCACTGGTCAGTGACTCGTCACTTGAATTCAACATATATAACGTGTATTGTCATCTAGAATTACTCGCATTTTTTTTTTCTGGTAGAAAAAAGTGAGAAAATCGGCCCAATCTGATGTCAGGTTAAGAATTTAGGCTCCCCAACATGAATTTAATATATATATATATATATATATATATATATATATATATAGATCGATAAATTTTTTCCTCTCAAAATCTAAAAAATCGAATGGGCCATTAAAACAAATTTGTTTACACTAAGTGTATTTGATTTGACTGGAAAATAGAGAATTGAGCGAAAGTTCTTAAACCCAGCACGGACTAATGGAGTCTGAATATAGTACTAGTAACAAAAACAACATTATATTGGATACATCACCATTTCGTGCCACCTATTGTCAAACACATAATGATGGGCGATGGCACGAAACAAGATATGCCTAGTGTTAACAATAATTAGAAAAAAAAAAAATTGTTAAGAGTCTTCTTTTCTTCTGTTTGCAACAACCATCGATAGGGATTAGGGAACAAAGCTGGCTAGATGTTCGAGAGTAATACAAAGCTAGCTCTAGCAGCCTAGTAAGATGTGAAGA